ATCGTCATCCAGTGCTTAACCGACTCCATTGTCTTCTGTGTCATACTGAGCAGCTGAGGGAACTGAGAAGGGATCACGGATTGATGAAGTTGTGTATCGTCCGCGTACATGTGATACAACATGTCAAACTGCCTGATCTCTGCGCCCAGTGGCTGAATGTACATCGTGAAAAGCACTGGGCCTAGGACCGAGCCCTGGGGTACTCCGAATTCGATATTAGATTTCTTCGAAGTCAAGCCGTTTGAAATAACTGACTGCACCCGATTAGTCAGATACGATCGGAACCAACACAGGACGGTATCAGTGAGACCGAATGTTTGTTGCAGACGCTGGAGCAATATGCCGTGGTCGAGCGTATCGAAAGCTGTAGAGTCTAGCTCCTCTCAAAAATCTGTCCGATATTTTGTTTAATTCAGTTTATGTTGTTAATGCAGAGAATTGTTGGGCCCGAAGGAAATCCACATTTTTTGCTCCACAAACTTCAAAGCTATTGTATCAAACGTACTAAAATCAGCTTTGGGGGCCCCCAGTGGGCAGGGATCCCAGCAATTTACTGGGTTGCCTCTGTCTTTCTGTAGCCCTAATACTAATTGTATAAGTTAATTATCAAATGGATTTGACAGATCATTTGTAATTATCTGCTTTCAATAATTGAATTGACTCAGAAAGACAAATAGCTCAATGCCTTTTCATAACTTTTAATATGAGACCATTATTTTATCATCCAATATAAGCAGGGAAGTTACATCACAAAAAGTATTGTCCAAAAAATAATTCAGTAGACTACGTCATCAAAAGTAACTCAGTAGCCTATGTCATCAAAAGTAACTCAGTAGCCTATGTCATCAAAAGTAACTCAGTAGCCTATGTCATCAAAAGTAACTCAGTAGCCTTCATCATCAAGAGTAACTCAGTAGACTACATCATCAAAAGTAACTCAATAGCCTTTGTCATCAAAAGTTACTCAGTAGACTATATCATGAAAAGTAACTCAAAAAGTATTTTTGCTATAAAAGGGTTATATTAAAATAACGAGTGCTCTGTTACACAGAATGAAATTTCCTACTACTGGGGTTCAAATCTGGGACTACATCATCAAAAGTAACTAAGTAGCCTACATCATCAAAAGTAACTCAGTAGCCTACATCATGGAAAGTAACTCAGTAGACTACATCATCAGAAGTAACTCAGTAGCCTATGTAATCAAAAGTAACTCAGTAGGCTACATCATCAAAAGTAACTCAGTAGCCTACATCATGGAAAGTAACTCAGTAGACTATGTCATCAAAAGTAACTCAGAAGACTACATCATCAAAAGTAACTTAGTAGCCAATGTCTTCAAAAGTAACTCAGTAGCCTACATCATGAAAAGTTAATCAGAAGACTACATCATTAAAATTAACTTAGTAACCAATGTCTCCAAAAGTAACTCAGTAGCCTACATCATGAAAAGTAACTCAGTAGACTACATCATGAAAAGTAACTCAGTAGACTACTGAAAATAACAAGTACTCTGTTACAGAGGATGAAATTTCCTACTACTGGGGTTCAAATCTCAGTAAATCAAATATGCACACAGTCATCCCAACACCTGATGTCTTGCAGGAATAATGTTAGTTGAGCACTTTTAAGATCACATTTTGATAGCAATGAAAGAACAGCTAGTGTTCAAGGATGTTCCAGCTAACTTTCATTTTTGTTTATATAAATGTTAGAGCTAATTGAAAATAAAAAAAAATAATTACCCTCTCTCACTCTAATATTAAAAAAAAACAACAAAAAAAAACAACAACAAAAAACAAGACAGATAATTTACAAAAAAATGTATTATGAAACATTGAAAATGCATCTATTGATTTTGGAATATTTTTCTAGTTTCACAATAAAATTTAAAATTAGTAACAAATTAACTTCTGTTGAATTGTCAATAAGTTAAAGTAAATTTGATCCCCCAAAAAAATATTTAATTTAAACCCCTTACAAATATTATTTGCTCGGAATGGTTAAAATAGATTGAAAGGCAATGCCTTTTTTCATTTTTTTCTTTTCATCTTTAGTCAGATTAAATATCTTTATATTTAGAATTAAGAGAAGAAAAAAAAAAGATAGAGAAATAATAAGTTACATTAAATTGCCATTAAAATTAAATATGCTTGAAATGACACATTTCAAACAAAAATATTTACAGAATTGTAAATGTGTTACAGAGTTGCCAATAATATAGAAATAAAGAAATGAAAAGGTTTAATGGCTGAAATTTTTAAGTTCTGCACTCCAAGTAAGGTTGCTATGTTCTTTTTTTAACAAGGAATTTATTGGTTCATTTTATGGCACACATCTACATTTGATATAGAAATTAAATTTGAAAGACTAAATTTTTAGAAAAAAAACTGATGATTAATTTATAAATTTAATTGGAATGAAAAAAATCTATCAAATCCTTTGAAATGATTCATTCTAAATATAAATTTATAACAGTTAAAAGGGGAGGATAATTTGTATGGTAGTTATTAATTTTAAAAAAAAGTATATCTAAACCTAATATGATTTGTTTAAAGCAAGGAACTTTATTCTTTTTTTTCCCCTTACTTTTAGTTACTACTGATTCTAAAACTTCTAGAGTACCCAACCAAGCCAATGCTACACAGCTGAAAGGCTGCTTTGGTTCACTGTGTATTCCATCTAAACACAAATTTAACTTATAACAAGAAAAATTAATAACATTCATTGTTTAACATCTGTGCATTGATGACTCAGTTTTTGCTGTTATGATAACAAAGCCGATGAAAAAAATTTCAAACTTCACATAAAGATGAATGAAAATTAGATTCAGTCTCTTGCACATGACCCACTGGGATGCCATTTCAAGTAAGGCATTGACAGAAAGACTCAGCCTCAAGAATAAACAAATTATCTTGATTAAAAACAACTATTTGCAGTCAAATAGAATATAAGAGAATCTTTGTTGCTCCTCTAAGAGCTAATGTGAAATATTTTAAGGGTAAACAGTAATGTCAGCTGGTGACAAATATTTGATCTTGTGAAATGTATTAATTTAACAATGACTTAAATACAGTTTTATAAACTACAGTGCTTGACAGGATGTAATTAAAACTGTTCATATATAGTTAATAAGACAACAATGACCTTCCAAATTTTCTGTCCCAAATGATCTATAAATTTTGCTACTTTTTATATTAATTTCCTGTATTTCACATTAAAAAAAGCTGTGCAATTACTGCATGAGTTATTGCAAGCATAATTCAACTACCACAGACTGAATCAGCAATCTACAATTATTACATTAAACATAAGTACACATTTAATTGGAGACAACATCACATGAGTAAGTATCACTGGACCATCACAAGCTTGACTAGTTTGACTTCTTCTCGTATTCACTGTAAGAAGGTGGTGGCCCGGGGTACGCAGGTGGGGCCATGTCGTGAGCGGCCGGGGCATAAAAGTTATGTTGGTTTGAGGGGTCGTAGTAGGCGCTGGCCGCAGCTTCTTGTGCTTTGGCATCTGTTGATTTCCAAACAAGTCAAATAAACTTGCCAAGTTAACTAAGTAAACATTGAAATGGAGGATAACTAAATGAAAGAAAGTTTGATGTGTGGAACAATTTTTTTGGTCAAATGATGGCTAGGCTTTTTTGTTTGTTTTGGTCTTAAAGTGCTATGAAACCTAGATATTTTTCAAGTCTGTGTGGGCTTTAAGAACATGGTCGATCCTTAAAGAAAAAAACCATTGTAAATAAAGTGGGAAAAAAATCACTGAAACAAAAAAACATTTATTCAATAAATGTATTTAACCTACTCCAGATCAGAGCAATATAATTATAAAACTCACCATGTCCATTAGCCATTGGAGCAGAGGGTTGTGGATATGCCATATTTGGATCCACTCCTGGATAGGGTGGAGGGGCTTGGGTCATGTAGATTGTTTGTGCTACATGGAGACAATGAATTCAATCAGGTATTTAAAAAAAATGTATTTACAGACATATGTTTTAGTTTTTAAGTATACTAAAACTTAGTCCATTCACAGAATGTTTATGTCAATACATTTTACCCATTATAATATGTTAATCAATTTTATTTGACACACCTTTTTTTTTTGGTGACAATGGAAGTTAGGAACAAAATTATTAAATGAGACATATACAACACTGACAACAAAAGACATTTTTAATGTAATAACCAGAACACAATTGGCTTTTTTAATCAAAATTATAAAAGCAGAATGTAGTTTATTGTTGTAAGAATATGTTTACATACCTGGTGGTGCAGTCGGAAAAGTGTCATAAGGGACCCATGAGTAATAAGAGTTTCTTGGCGGCTCATATGCTGGTGGTGGTGCTGCGTAGTAATCAGCCCCTGGTGGTGCATAATATGGTGGGGGATTTGGTGGTCTGTTTCGCGAAGCTGTGAAAACAAACAAGACTTACATCAAGAAATTGATTTCTAAAAAATGTTCAGTGGGGGTAAAATATGTGAATAATTTAATAAAATTAGCTTTTTTTTAACGTCTTGATTTCCTTTCTAAGATGGAGAACTATTGGATTAATTAAATAAGGATTAAAGACATTTAGTATTTTATTATCCTTGTTCAAATTTCACTTTACTCATTAACCCACTAGTATTAATAAAAACATTTTTTATTGTTACCCATCCTGCGGGCCCACTTTTTTTACAACGGGCGTGACAAAGCAAATTGATATCGCTAATGAGTGACAAATAAAACTATTTTTTTTAATATTGCAAAATAATTTATTTTTTAAATAAGTAAATTAACAAACAATATAAAATGGAAAATTAATATGAAAAAACAAACAAATTTATTTATAAATTAATTTTTTATTTTTCATTTAATAATCTGTACATAATTCTGGGAAAACAATTCAAATAAAGATTACACATTCATACAAGCAAAAACATTACAAGAACATAAAATTTGAAGTTTACAAATTGACTTTTTACTCCTTCGATGCCACTCATGTTTATCATTCACAACATTTAACCATAGGCTAACATGTACAATTAATCTCATATTTCTTTCTTGCTGCAAATTTGTGTTTTGATCCTCAGAATATATTGGTTTGTATAGCACATCACACAACACCAACATTCAAGAGAGTATGAGCCATTTTTGCAGAGCCTATATTCATGAAAGTTTTCTAATAAAATTAACTGCTTTCAAACACACTCTGTTTGAAGGTTGATTTTATTTACATTTTATTTCTCTGTCTTTTCCAACATTGTCAATAGTATCTTCTGCATCATCATTCTAATCCTCGTCATCATTCCATCATGAATTTTCCTGATGAATTTCAACAGCAACTTGGCTCTCTGTTGCAACCTCATCTTCAAAATCTTCTTATACTTCTCGATCTTCAAAACATATTCTTTTAATTTACTCTATATCCTTGAGATGCGAAAGATTGAACATTTTCCAACAAACCGCCATGCTAGACAGCAGAAGTAACCTGAAATGTAATAAAGATCAGTATAATTATCCTGTTTGGATGCAATGCATCAATTTGATATTTACTATTGAAAACCACATGAACATTTAAAAATACAATAATGTATCAGTATATATACAAATATGAAAAAAATTGACTTACCAGAGCAAGAAAATAATAAACTTGTCAAACTTCCAAAAAGTAACGTGCCAAAGTGCAGTGTATGAATTAAAACAAAACAGCCATAATCTGAACACCAAACCATCTTGGCCTATAAAGGAAGGGGAAACATGAAGCTACTAATATGCAGAGCTTGGTGTCATTTCTCTCTAACGCGTGCAATACGAAAATGGTTGGCTTGTATCAGTCTGATCAGACAAGCCCGCCGGAAGGTTAAAATAGGTCTCTATCTTGATTTTCTGGTGCACAAAGTATATTTTAAAGGATTTTTTATTATATTAATAAACATTTGGTATACATCAGTTAAGTAAGCAAAGATTTTTTATTTGTGCAAGATTGATGAGAAGTTGAAAAGAAAGATGGCTTTCAACAAAAAATTTTTTTAATAAAATAAAATACAATGTAGTCACCAAGAGATGCAGCATGAAGCATTGCTTTTCCGAATTCGATTGCACCACCATGGGTAAAATACATCCTGAATTTAGCTTCTCCTTCCCAGTTTCCTAATTGAGAAAAGCAATTTTTCCCAAACCGATCAACAACATGTCAAAGGAAAGGATGACTATTTTACCTAAGATTACTTAATTTGTCTACTTAAACCTAGGAAATTTAAAAAAAAAAAACTAAACAAATTTTGTTAGATTACTTCAACAATCTTCTACACATTATGTCCCTATGGATTAGGGATAAAACAAACAAAATATAACAAATAGTTTTATTTTTAAAACAAGGTCAATTAATTACCTAGAGGTTCTGACTTTACTCTTCCCTTAATAAAATTAGCTCCAAATACTGGTTGCTCCAGTTCAACTTCCCTCATGCACAAGAAGGGAATCGAAAACGATTGCATTTGATCTTTGGTATCCTGGCTGTTGAAAATTACCTAATAATGCAATAATAAAAGCAACATTTTAATTATGCAGAAGAAATGTTTTCAAATCATAAATTCTAGTATATTCAGTCACAGAAATACATCTTCATTTCTATTTTTTCTTTCACAAGCAAATTGTAAAATAACTAATGTTAAGAATATATAATAAATTTAATATATTTTTATGAACTATAAATAAAATCAACAACCCCCCCAAGCTCCAATTTATAATGTTTGATCGTTTCATTAGCTGTAAACTACTTTAAGAGTGAGTTCCTAACATTTGCTCGTTTATTGTTGTTAGAATTTGTGCGCTGGCTGTTTGCTGCTGATGGAACAACCCCTTTAGATAAAGGGCTCATCAGTTTATACTTGCTGTAGTATTATTATAATAACAAAGGGAGCAGCAAAAGAAAAATGTATAACTAGGGTAAGTAGAGTCAGATGGATGCAAGAGAGGATTTCACTGTGCCTATAGTCACTTAATTTCATTTAGTTGCCTTTACAGTAAAAGTACACTGTTTTTGGTTAGGGTCTCAAGATCAGTATTAATCTTTGTATGTTTCATTAGCTTTAGCTCATATAAGTGCCAAGTATCATGGATGTTAATATGGTGGGCCAAAGAAAACAGCATGCAGCGTGGGATCACTTTCTGTGATCACCAGTGATATCTACTTTTTCCATTCTAAAAATAGATGATCATCCAAATTTTAACTCTTTCTCTGATGGCTCCCGATTATAAGAATGATAAATATATGCAAGGTATTTTTTATTACAGATCGATGAAGACTTGAAAGGTTTTATCAGAATGGGGGGCTGGTGTGGGTAACTATATTTCAATTTTGATAAAGGATTTCATTTTAATAAATTTTGAATTTCTTTTGTGTTGTAATCAATTAAGTTTTATGCCTTTGGGGGAAAAAAAAAATGATTTTGATTATAATTTTTTTTAAAACTAATAACCAATGATTGCTTTCAAAACCAATAATCAGATATATGATCATCATTCATCAACTTTATTATGTATCTTACTCTGTGTGTTGTCAGGTATATTCTTCCTTTCTTCTTTCCTTTCATCTGTGTTATGGAGGGGGGACCTTCAAAAGTCATTTCAATTCCATCATAGTAAATCAGTATTCTGTAGATAATTAGGACAGTGAAAGGTCATCTTAATCAAAGTCGCACATGTTAATCTGAGGGATCAAAAACTGTACAAAAAAGTTAACTCTGCAACAGAATGTACAGAAAAAAAATAAACATTGAAAAAGGTTTAATTTATAACTTGTTCATTTAATGATCAATGTTTTGAATACATACAAACTTTGCCTTCATGATAATTTCTAGAGTAGTTTTAAAAAAATCAAGCAATAGTCATTTATATGTGATTGTAATGAAATGTGCAAATAGGATCTCCACCCTTGTAATTTTATCCACCCGTTTACCTTTATCCAATACATTTTTACAAGATGGGTCTGAGATAAAAATGTATAGGGCCTAATAAAGGTAGAAATTTCCTATATTGCCTAAAGTTTCGTTTGTGCAAAACTATGCTTTAAAATGAGCTTTAATGTCATATGGCAGAAAGAAATTAAATGTTGTTTTTGCAAATATTGCAAAATGCATGAGATGATCTGACTGATGAGGCATAAATAATTCCAGGGTATTGGGCCAGACAAACAGTAAGAATATTCCACTGGTGTGTATCAAATTCTAACTTCTTTCTTTTTAAAAAAAAAATTAGGTTCGTCAACTTAATTGGAAATTTCCAGCTGGAGTAAAAAAATAAAATTACAAAATTCAATCCTTACAGATGTTCAATCTAAATAAAATATAGGCCCACTTAAAAATGAAGTAAATAGCGCCCACTTTAGCTTTACAAAGTGTTAAATTTAGTCATGCAATGACGTGAAACTAGTGGTAGACAAAATGACTAAAGCTATTCACTGTTAGTGATATTAAATATGTATAAATAGATGTAGCCCGCCAAACATTGGCGACAGCAATGCATGAACTTCCCATCTACTAAAGTTACTTGACAAAGCGTGACTCAAGTTACGCACATTTAAGAATGCCAATTTGGCTACACAACCCCCCCCCCCTTTTCATGATACGTGACCACACACTTTTTATTTCACACCCATGAACTATAAAAATATAAATATAGCCAGCATACACCGCGAGCTTGTTGGGGTGTGCGCATGGCTGGCAAGTGAGGGTGGTGCATGAGGCGGGGGGGGGGGGGGGGGGGGGGGGGGGGGGGGGGGGGGGGGGGGGGGGGGGGGGGGGTGTGGTAGCTCCACCCGCAGTGCGCATGTCTCGAGACCAACGATGGGCAGGCAAGGGAAGGGAGGGTTTGCCTGCGTCTTGCTTGCTCTGGCGTAACTATATATAGCCTGCATCGTCATTCTCTTCTTGCCCTAGTTTTTGTCGCATATTATATATATAGATAGAATAGTCAAAGTCAAGTCTCTCCTTTTAATCGAATTAAAAGAACACTTACAATTCAGTTTTTGCTAAAAATATAATTACAAAAACAGATTTTAATTATGGTTTACTACTCAAAGTGGCTACTATTAGTAAGGATTCGAGTAATAGATACTGGCATAGTAGGTGGATATTGGTTGAACACCTCTTCAAATTTATATTTAAATGGCGTACCCTTTGAAAATTTTGATCAAATGTCATTTTGAACGGACAAATATGTTTTGAGATTCATTTTGACCTATGATGAATGTAATTTTTCCTGTGGAAACATTTTAGCATATATTATTTCAAAATCCGTTGAAAAACCGTACATTATCTGTAGCACCATACGATAATAAAAATAAAAACACCTGACAGAGTATGGGTAAACCACACAGGTTGGCATGTGGTGTATGCAAAGTAAAAAAAATATTTTAACAAAATTTGTTAATTCAGCAGGATCCTAGCTATTTTTCTGGGGGTTGTGAGAACTTTTGGATTTGGTATAATCATTAATTAAAAAAGTTCAAAATTATTGTTTATTTTATCTTTTCGTGATGAGATTTTTTTAGATGGCCCCTGGATTGGTTGTACCATCTACGACCTAGGCCTTGGGTCAACCCTAGTAGTTATATTATAGACCCATGCCATATATTAATGTTAGACCTAATAAAAATGAATGGAAAGTGAGTGTGGGAAATTGTTGCATAGCCAGCATAAAAGCAAAGCGGCCCTAAATTTCATATACATTATACCTATAATTTAATTTAATTTAAGTTATGGTTATTTGAATGTATTTTTTTACTGATGAAGGCATTTGCCAAAACTTTTGCATTTTTATTCTGTGTAATTATTATTTAAGTTTAATCTGTTTTATTTTATTTAAAAAAATTGTTTGGGTCTTATGAATCTACTTGAAAACTTTATCACAGTCCAACACTCTTATAATTAGTTAAATAAATTTATAACTTATAAAATTATAAGACCTTTCACCTCGGATATCAGATACTCTTGCAGATACCTTGATATTATGTAGCTTGGCTTATCCCTAAAGATATGTACTTGATAATTAGAAAGGTTATGTGCTATCAAACTATGCTTGTAACTATAACATTTACACTAGTAGTACTAGTACTACAAATCCATTGATTTGTATGTTATGCATGCCACACTTCCTTATTTAATAATGAGTAATCACTCACTGGCAAAATTCCTATAGCCTTAAAAAATTTGTATTAGCATTAGTAATGTAAAATGTCAATACTTTAATTATAAAAAAGTATGCCTTGAAGACAATAGAATTTCAGAAAATAGTGTCTCTTGGTAGTCCAGCCAATCAAATCAAACCAAAACCGAAATTTTAAAAACCTGCTTTCAATGACATTCATTTTTACTAGTTCGTACTAATGACAACACTGATAATGAACCCTGAAGGAATTTTAGCTTCCATTGCTATTTTGATACTTGGAAAATGCCATCAAAGCTTTAGAAGAGTTTCAAAATGCTCTCTCTCTATATTGCTATATAATTTATAATAGAGATAGATGAAAGATACATAGTCTTAAAAAGTTATACCCAGCTTCCTTTTTGCCAAAGTAGATTAATATGTGCACATCTAAAAAATAAAATCCAGCTGAGGCTGATAAATAAATTTATCATATACTTTTTGTGTGTGATAATTATTATGATTAAAATTATGAACTAAAATATATCGGTAGCCCTAAATATGTCTATAATTAACATTGTAATAGTTTTAGTGCATATTTAAAAAAATCTTGTTACTTTAGTTAAAGTTAAATGAAACAGGATAATAGGATAATAATGTGATAAGGCTTAATGATGATAACAGAAACTTTGGCCAAGGCCAAGCTCTGTTTAGGAACATGGTCACGTGACAACACCCAACACCCCCCCCCCCCCCCCCAATTGATTTTCTGGTGGAAGATAGGCCTAATGAGTATTATTGTATTATTGGTTCACTCTGTACAGGCCAATGTTTTTTTTTATTCTTTATTTTGTTTTTTTTAGGTCATCTCACATAATGGGATACGATTAAATGAATAGCTAATAAATACCCATCATTTAATGTATTTAATTGTTCACTAATAAATAGAGATTCATATTTTATAAATTGTGCTTGAGAATTATTGTGTTCTCTTACGATCGTGATTGATATGTGAAAAATATTTTACAATTTAACAACATTTTTTTACTCAAACAACATAGTGAAGAAAAAAACTATGGAAGAAATAGTTTAATATTTATTGGAATTTAATGCTGCAATATAATATACAAAACTTAAAAAAAGAATTTTACAAATACAACTGTTAGTTTTCTGTCAACAATTTTTTTGGGAGATATGCGTAAATAGTGTTTTTGCATTTAAATTTAGACAAGTGATCTTACCATGCAGAATTATTCAAATACAAAGTTTGAAACCTATTTTTTAATATTTAAAAGTTCATATTTAATACAAACAATTTAAATACATTTTAACAACTCATTTGTATAATTTACAAACAAATATGTAAATTTAAATAAAAATTAAATAACTACAAAATAATAATAATAATAAAGATAGAGCTTACATGACTATACAGATACAATCTAAGAGCCTTCTGAGCTTAGGGGATGTTCTAACAATAAACAATTATGTCACTTATTTAGACAGATATGTTTTATCAAATTTCAAACATTTAATTACCATTACAATCTGACGCTCTATCTTTTCGGGTAAGTAACACCGCAGCATGGAATTAGGTTCATGTACATAAGTAAACAAAAACAGATGTTGAAATCTGTAACCCTAGGTATTATTTCCTTCCAGTTAGTACAGAGGTACTGTTTTTCTTCTCTCATGTGTTTGGCATAAGCATTGGTGTAGTCACAAAATTTCAACATGACCTCCTGAAAGAAAAAGAGTTTGAAGAAATTTCCTGTGGATGATAAATAATTTATTTGTAAATTGCATGTTAGCATAACACATTAGCAGAATTTATTGATCTAGTACAGATATAACAATAGTATACAAATAATAATAGTTATAATAATATAAATTATCATACAATGTTAGGATAAGAAAAGTGATATATTTTTTCCCAAATAATTATCAAGCATAAAATCCTAAATATTTGCCTATCGCCATATCCCATATATCATTCATTAGTACTGCAATTATAATATAATATCCCTTACCTAGAATTTTTAGTTTTTGCATCTCATTTCTAGTTGCCTGCTTTTCAGAATTTAGAATATTGAGACCATGTTTTCTTTTAGGGATACATATAGGTATTACTTGAGGGGGACCCTGGTCAACATCTTCATGTTTTTTTCCAAGTCTAAGGCAATGTATTATCAATACTGATTAGAGAAAAAATATTTTAAATATAAGGCTAAATGAAATAAACTACCTAGTAACATATTTTAAAAATAATAAATTCATAACTTCCATTATTTAATCATTAGGATATTTAGAATTAGACAAAAGACAAAAAGCAATAAAAACAATGAAAACTAACATAAGCTGTTTGATCAGCTGATAAAAATGAAAGTCAAAACATGATTGGAATATAAAATTATCATTACAACACTGTAAGACTATTATTAGGAACCTATTATTTAACTACACAATATATATTGTTGTTCAGATTATTTAGAAATGTTAATTTAAGTGGCCTAATCAAGTGGATCGCTAGACTTACTTTGTTTGAAACTGTACTTGTGTAGGTAAAGAAATATCCATGTCTTTATCTGATGTTTTTTCATATTGATCTGCATCCCAATCATCAGAAGTCACTTGCCGATTCATCTCAGTCAATTTTAATGTTTTCTAGACTCATTTTGGGTTTTAAAATTATTTTTTATTGAAGCAGCTAACTCTATTCAAGTGGCGACAAGAAAACAAAATAGACGACGTAAATGCATCTCGGTTCCGATAATTTAAAAACAAATTTTAATGGAATTATAAAAATTAACCATGTTATGAGCACTTGAAAGCAAGACACTTTGTCAATTTTTTTTTCTTGAGCACTCCAAGATCAAGAACACTGAATTTTTTTTTTACGGGTGGGCAATATAGCCAACCTGATCCCCATCCAAAATATATACTTATTGGGGTCTTGTATCAATTTTTCTATGTCATTTAATGCTTTTTCTAAAGGCACTCAAAAAGGTCTGAAAAGCTCCCACACAAAAGAATGATCTTTTCCACAGTTTGTGGGTTAATTAAATAAAAATTAATATTTAAAAAAAAATAATAATTAATTAAGCATTAATAAGTATAAACTAATAATAAAGGGATATTTGTTTCATTTAGTTAAAATTTACGATTACAATTTTTATTTTTCCATTTTCTGTATAAGTCTTTTAGTCCCATATCATATGAATGTCTGAATATGACCAAAAAATAGTATGTCATTTTTTATAAGAATCTTGTTTCACAAATTAACATGCATTGATAGAATCAACTTTGGTGTTGATACAAACTAAAATAAGTTCTAGTCATTTGCTTGAGGTAAGTATAAGTTTTTATGATTGTTCTTGAATAACATCTTAAGTAATTCTTGGAATATTGTGGCAGAAAGTGTGTTTTTTCTTTGAGAATACCAAGGATTATGTAATAATTCTCTTGTGAATTATTGGGACATGTGATTAAATATATGATATTTCAATATGTAAGTGACTTTTTTTCTTTACATTTTTGCTTAATCTATGCATTAAGAATCATAATATTCATTACAAATAACAATTAATGTGTCCCACAAATAATGAGTTGGGGGTGGGGCTAGGCCTATACTTAACATACTACACTTTTCTAGGCCTGTAGGCCTATATATAATATATATATATAAAATATACATAGGGCCTATATATATATAATATATAAGGTCGATATATATATATATATATATATATATATACTAGCCAATAAACCCAGCGTTCCACAGGATTGCATTAGGACCGCATCCTTGTGTGACCCCAATCCCATTGGAACCCTAATCCCATTCTGACATCGAACCCGGCGCAGTCCCGTTTCCCGGTTTTATCCCGATCCCGGTGGATCCATTCAAGGTTGGGATCCCCATCCAGGTGGGATCCTGTTTTCTGGTGGGATCCTGATCCCTTTGGAATAACGATTATGATTGGATCCCGACCCTTGGGATCCCATATAAAAAAAATTATGCAGTGTTACTGGAAGAACAGTTAACTCCGGGACAGTATAGAAATGAATAGAACTAACTAAAATTTCATTATCCTTTAGATCCCACCATATGTCCCCGTGGAACAATTTAGAACTTTCTGAAACATTCTAGATTAAATTTAATAACCTGCTGGAAACATGTGTAAAACTACTTTTCTAATTATTTTTTTAATACGATAAAAATCTTCAACAAATACCATAATTATAATCCTTTTTCTTTAAAGTTAATCTTGTTTAAGTTAATCATGGGGCCTTAGAGGGGGGGGGGGGGGGGGGTTTCCATAAATGTAAAAAATAGGCTTACATCCATAAATTCACATAAAACCTATACTGTTGTCTAACCCTATTGATATTCATATAGCTTATAAAAGGAAAAATGAACGTGGGCCCCCGGGGCCCAGAGAAATGGATATTATGAGTTCAGTACCCTTTGGTATTTGAATATGAATGATCATGTGCATGTGTAATAAGTTTGGTCAAGATCCATCCATTCATGTAGGAGTATTAAGCCTGTTGATATTTATATAGCTTATATAGCGAAAAATGAAATTGGGCCCCCGGCCCCAAAAGAATTGATATTATTGGTTCAGTACCCTTCGGTATTTAATATCCATAATAAAGTGTGTGTGTACTAAGTTTGGTCAAGATCCATCGACTCATGTAGGAGTAGTTGTTGCTAATTTTATTTATATAGCTCATATAAGAAAAAAAACTAAATCAGGGCCCCCAGCCCCAAAACGGAATGTTATAAAAAGTTCATAACCCCTTAAGAGTTCCTTCTGGATCATGATGGATATAAGTTTGGTCAAGATCCATCAATCCATGTAAAAGCCTTTGTGTAACAAACAGACACCGCCACAAACAAACATTCACCTCTACATATATATATATATGATATATCACATCGCGTGTACTCCCAGAATAGCAATGTGGTTTTCGCGCCGGTAGGTCACCCATAGACATGATCTTCTCTCTGCGCCAGCTGCAGGAGAAGTGCAGGTAGCAACATATGCCTTTATACATTGCGTTTGTCGACCTCGCTAAGGCTTTTGATCTTGTCAGCAGAATCGGCCTGTTTCAGATCCTCAAAAAGATAGGCTGCCCTACACGACTGCTTAACATCATCAAGCAGTTCCACAAAAACATGCAGGTCACAGTGTGCTGTAACGGTGCCGCCTCAGAAGCTTTTCCAGTGAGTAGTGGAGTAAAGCAACGTTGCGTGCTGGCTCCTACTTTATTTGCAATCATTTTCTCCATCCTACTCCAATATGCCTTTCAGAACAACAGCGAGGGGATATACATCCACACTAGAGCTGACGGCAAATTATTCAACATTGCCCGCCTTAGAGCTAAGACTAAAACAAGAAAGGTCTTGCTTTGGGAGTTCTTGTTTGCAGACGATGCCGCTTTGGTATCTCACACAGCTGACGGCCTGCAGAGCCTCGTATCCAGCCTATTTATTTATTTATTTAGGCATTTTTATATAGCGCTTACCATAAAGCTCTAAGCGCTTTACAATTATTAAAACATGTAAACTAAGTAAATAAAAATGAGACACTAGGATAGTGACTACTATACTATAGAAACAATGAAAATGGCTATAAAACGAGGACACTTTGACACTTCAGGATCAACCCGAAACAGAAAATGAGGTAGAGCAAGGAGGGTGCATCACAGGTCATAGGCGGACCTAAACAGATGAGTTTTAAGGGACTTTTTGAAAATGGACGAGGTTTCACTATGACGTATATGGAAGGGGAGCTGGTTCCAGAACGTGGGCCCATGGAAGCAGAAGGAGCGTTCACCGATGGTCTTAGTTTTAGTTCTTGGGATTGAGAGGGTTCTACTGTCAATTGAAGAACGTAGTTGTCTTGTGGGGATGTAAGGAAGCAACAGTTCAGAGAGATAGACAGGAAAGTGAGGGTCAGTGAACGAGTTGAAGCAAAGATTGGCAGACTTGTATTTGATGCGAGAGGATATTGGAAGCCAGTGGAGTTGCCGCATGTGTGGTTGAATGTGGTCATGTTTCTTTGATTTAAAAATGAGTCTGCATGCTGAGTTCTGTGCCTTCTGAAGTTTTTCTATGTGGTGTTGAGGAATGCCTGAGAGAAGAATGTTACAGTAGTCAAATTTTGAAAGAATGAGTGAAGAGACGAGAGTTTTTGTGGCATCAAAGGAGAGGAGGTGTCTAATGGTGCTGATTTTTCTAATTTCGTTATATGCTGATCTGCATATATTCGTGACATGTTTGTCCATGGAGAGGGTGTCCGTAAGAGTGACTCCAAGGTTTCTGGCAGAGGGAGAGAGTGTGATGTCAGAGTTGCCAATAGATATAGAAGAAGGAGCGAATGGAGGGAGAGGTTTGTTTTGAGAGTGGATGAGAAGGATTTCCGTTTTATCATCCTATCCTATCCGCTGCCTACAAAGAGTTTGGCCTGACAATTAGCCTAAAGAAAACTAACATTATGGCACAGGGCGCTGACTCCCTCCCCACTATCGCCATCGACGACTACGACTTGGATACTGTTGACAGATTCACATATCTGGAATCCAACATATCGAGCACCCTCTCAATGGAGGATGAGATAAGTGGGAGGATAGGGAAGGCCGCAACTGTTATGGCCAGACTGAAGAAAAGAGTCTGGTCAAACGCCAAACTTACAACAAGAACTAAGCTGCAGGTGTACCAGGCATGCGTACTGAGCACACCTCTGTATGGATGCGAGTCGTGGACCACATACTCTAAACACGAAAGAAGGCTCAATGGATTCCACCTCAGATGCCTGCGCCACATCCTTGACATTAAATGGCAAGACAAAGTTCCCAACATGGATGTCCTGTCCCAAACAAACGTGTAGCGTCCCAGCCATGTTAATCCAAAGACGCCTCCGCTGGCTTGGACACGTCAAGTGAATGCAATCTGGTCGCATACCAAAGGACGTGCTATACAGCAAGCTGGCGACAGGGAAAAGGTCAGTTGGACGGCCTCGTCTGAGATACTTAGACATATGCAAAAGAGACATGAAGTCGGCCAACATCGACATCTCAAACTGGGAGGAGCTGGCAGAGGATCGATCCTCATGGCAGGGCATCGTGAAGGCAGGATCACTACATGCCGAGGATCAAAACAGGGCGGAAACAGCTGCAAAAAGAGCGAGGAGGAAGGCCGGTAAATACTGCTCCACCGCATTCGTGTGTGGGAAATGTAACAGAGACTGCCATTCGAGGATTGGTCTCACCAGCCACACCAAGAGCTGCAAGCAATAAAGATAATCTATCGTCTCCCGCAAACGGAAAGATGCCATACATATATATATATATATAAACTGTTATATTTATTTATATATATATATATATACTGTTATATTTAATATATTAATTATAATAATAATGAGGCTAATAATAAATTCAGTTTAACCCACTACCCAAGTCAATACCCCTCAATAAAAGCATCAAAACAAGTTAAAAATATATATATTTATGTTGTTAAAATAGGTATCTGTGTTGTTAAATTATTTTTTTTTTGTTTTTGAATGAGTTATTATGGCGTAATAAGCAGGATTTCAAGTATTTACTTTTTTTAAAAATCGTTATCGATAATAGGTCATTGTGGGACACGCGGGACAAAAATTTGGTAGGCATTTTTTTACCATTGAACTGGGTCCTAACCTCTTGAATATTTTATATGTTGTAATTTATGCTATTATTTACCGTCATCTTTTTATTTAAGAAAGACACCTTTCCCAAAAAAATATGAATGAGTAAAATAAGCATTATTTTACCTTCAATTTTCAAAGTTAAGACCTCAAATGTTTTTTAGAACAAAAGTGTCTAATAATAAAAAAACATGTCTACTCAAAGTTGTGGGCGGAAATAGAATGTGCATGCTGGGCTATAATAAACAAGAAAATCGTAAATAACAAGGGTCTCGGTAATTAAAAAGTGGAGGTCGCCATTTTGATAACGAAATCACGATACCCGGTTTTCAGCTTTTCCCGGATCTCATCGAAGTGCCTAGAGTATAGTATAGAGGCTAAATTAGTACTTGTAGTTTGTAGGCTACACTACATTCTACAACAATACTAAATACTATAGACTATGACTATGTCATACTCATACTAACTATGTCACTGATTCATCAGTGCATGATTGGCACTGATTATTCCTTGAGACTTGAGGCTTGACAATGAAACAATGATAAACCAATGTTCGTCAGTTCCATAACCACATATAAGACATAAGGTTAGTAAGGTTATCATATGGTAGGCACTTGAATACAAAATTTTTAAAAATTGAAATATTTTTTTTAATAACACAGTTAGTTAGAGCAAATTTCAAATAAAAAAAATGAACCCAGAATCAAATTTTTAGCTTAAGTACTTTTGGAGCTATGAATTTTTAAAGTGTGAGTTCGTTTGGTATTTTTTACGATGGACGAAACCTCCACATCTTGTGACCTCATTCCGCTGATCGCGTCATGCACAATGACTATATACTTTATATAAGGCAATGCATCGCCTTATCACTAAAATACTGTTTAGGGTCGACTTAGTTTAAACTTTCAACTTTGGCACATGAATAATTAATTAAACTTTCCCTGACCAATGGTATGGTAGTTTTTGCACACTGCAAACTCTTATGAATGAAACTCTGAGGTAGTACTACGATACAGCCATTATGCAAGTGGCTGCGAATTGTTGCCAATGACAACGTAATGCACACGGTAAATTCTGATCATTTATAATATGGATTCTACCGGGTTGTTAAAGCTCAAATTAAAACATTCCAGTTTAAATGTCTTCAAAATGCATTCTGAAACACAAGTTATCAAATATTTTGATGTAAATAGTGGTAATAAATTAATATTTCCTAAGTATCGGCAATTTCCGCCATTAAAAAGGGGGCGTGGCCCACCCCATGGCGAAATTAGGTTGAGCGAACTGCATGACCTGCTGCGAACGCGTAGCAACATGGCGTCTCTCGTAAGACAGTTATCGCTGTGAAAATTGGCATACATGTAGATCAATACATTCCCCAGACGTAAAAAAAATTTGGTAGTGACAAATTTTTTCCTTCGACTTAATTTTAATGATGAAAGTTGCCTTATATTTACCAAGGATTTTCTCAAAGCTGACTGATTGTAAATGAAAAAGAAATTGATTAAAATGTAGGCCAAGATGTCTACCTAATTATAAGGCCGAAAACGGAACTCAAATATATATCGAAAGTACTAATTTAATAATAAATAGACACACACATCGGAAAATTAAAAATACTCGGATTTTTCGGCGCCGATTTCTATTTCCGATACACAAAAAGTAGTAGTAGTAGTCTCCCTTGTTCCTTGTTTCATCAAGTATCTACATATGATGACATATGTATAATAGTATAAGTATAAGTGACATAAGACCACACATAACTAAGTTATGAACTTATTTATTATGTCATAAGTCATACAAGAATTTGATTTGAATGATTGTGACTGATTCTGATGACAATTATGAAGGTAGTGTCTGTTTCAATGATTGATGAGTGTGATTCAATGAGTTTGAGAAAAATGAGAACGGTATACTACTTACTTACTTTACTGTAACATTTAATTGCCAATCTAACACTGTAATTACCTTTCACTCGCATAAATCAAAACACCACCATGGGCATGAGAATTATTTAGAGACATTGTTCTGCCTTAACAATTACTCTTGCTGTAAATAATCTTTCAATGCGTAAAAAACTGCCTCTAATTTCTAGAATTCTGACAGGTTATGTTTGATGACAAAACTGACGTCATATACCGGATACGGATATTAAGGAGTTTGTTTACTGTTTATTTTCAACACTAGATTGGGGAAACTGTTTTTGTAACAATTATTGACTCAATAATTTATTGACTATGCCGTTATTTGGAAAAAATAGTTTACCTAAAAAATTAAAATTGTATATATTTTGTGTTTCAATCCTTAAATTATTTGTACGGAACTTGACCGAGCATATCCTTATAAGTAAGCTTTCTAATTTGAATAGAAAATTATATAAAATCAGATTATTTTGAGAGTAGTAGCCCATTTCAGAATAATCCCACTAAAACATTTTTCGCCTAATTTTCAGCCACTTTATAGTCAATGGTAATCTGATCTTTAGTTCATTTTGTATATTGTGATGTATCCTTATCTTGACGGCTTAATAATTAAATTTGTATGATTATAATGCAAGCAATATTTTTCGTCCCAGTTTAAATTTAAAACTACAAATGCATTATAAAACCCTTTAAATGAAAAGTGCGAATAAATAATACATTTTAATGCAATATAATTATACCACTACTACATTAAGATGGCTGATGATGATGTTGAATGTAAAATCGAAAGGAGGTAGCGTATCTTAATTGTGAATTGAGCAGTTACATCAGTTGCTAACACTGCTTATTAGTCTTAGCTAGTCCTAGTTCGGATTATGAATAAAATTATTCAATAGTTGCAATTTATAGTCCTAACCGACTAAGTTAACTCTCTGCAGTCGGACTATAGAAATGGTACTAAACTAAACTTAAACTAAGTTGTTATATAATATATATATACCATAGCCATAGATTTTGTGGGTGGGTTATTTATTTCTTTCCTTAAATTTTTAATTTAAAAAAAAAATGTATTATGTTAAAATAACTTGTGTCATTGGTTAAGTATTTGTAAATATTAAAATTATTACAAAATTTGAAATTACTATTTTAAAAAAATATTTTTTGAAACTTATTCAGTGCCGCTGTCGGAGCATCCCTTGAAAGCTTTGCCGATTTCCAAAAAGAACAAAATAATATTAGTGTCACAAAAAAATTAATTACTGGTAATAATATGGTCAAATGATTTTAATTTCCCGATTATCAAGGAGTTATTTGTTTTTCTAAAGTCTAAAATAATGTATCCAAATGGAGACTGTAATCATGAAATTTATCCCGATTTGCAAATGAAAGTACCGACTAATCCTATCGTAAACAAGTAAGCTTAATTTTAATTATTATTTCCCGACTATAAAATTAATAATAAAACAATAAAGTCTTGGCTGAAGTATATATTATCCATTTATACTTATACCTATTACTATATTGATATATTCTATTTGAATTTTATTGAGTTTCAATAATTTTATAATAAATGAATAGCGTGGTTATGCGAAATAAATATTTTCTAAAACTAGCAGGAAAACTCCTGCTGATGGGAACTTGCGTACTTAAAAAAATAAAATTAAAGTTAAGGACTTCTGAGTTTTTAACTAAATATATTTCTTTAAATATGTTACAGCCAAGAATAATCTTCTAAATTTTCTAATATTGCATAGTAGAAATGTGTTTAAAATTAATTATCATTATCGCTAGTCACTAGTATTAGTAGAGACTACACAACAGAATAAAAAAACAAAATGTTTATGTTTTTATTAAAATTAAAAGCTCATTAACTCTAATAGCAAGGAGGAGAGAGAGACTAAAATGCAGTTATTGGATCAAGAAGCCCATATTCCTTATCGAGTTACCTGATGAATATCTTTGTAGATTTTACCCTAAAAACAACTGGTGGTAAGTTTTAATCTAATCACTTGGTAGCAAAATGCATAAAGAATAAACTCACAATATTGTTATAACATATGTTATAATGTATTTTCTATGTACAATGGTTTACTTTTATACTAATTTAGGCATTTGGACTAGGATTAAAGTTATTTTCCCCTTACTGGTAGCATAGCATTACTGATACCATTAGTGTTAATTTTATTTATGAATCAATCAAATTTTTTTTTCACAGGTTCTTTATTGAGTGAATGTTCTGTGGTGAAAAATGTTACCTACTCTTATGTGGAAATCAAGTCCAGGCCAAGCTCTTATTTATCAATTATAATTATTATAATAAAAATGCATATTGTTTTAAGAAATAATATTTATTCAGTGTCCATAAATATAATTAAGGAATACTGTAGTTTGTCGGCTTGGGTTATGTGAGGATTATAAAAAAGATATATAAAAATACTGGTACATAGGGAACAATATATCAGATTAGTGGGGAATCCATTGTATTGGGCATTAATATCAAAATTAGAAGTATTGTACTGAAAATTTTTGATATTTTTAACTTTAACATAAGACATAAGGGAATACCGGCACATTAACATTTTAAAAAAAAACAATATTGGCTCTTGTTTTGAGTTATTTATATAATCATCAAATTTTACTTAGTTTTCTTTTACTCAAGAATTATCAAGAAATATATTTAATATACAAATATATAAGTTATGAGGCACATTTTAAAAATATATTACATACAAAACATAATTTTAATTAAAAGAAAATTTTAGTGAATTTTAAAAAAAATAAAAGACAAAATATAGGTTTTGCTAAAATATTGACAACTATTTTATTTTTCATAGAATGTTTGTCATGTTTGACTATGAATTGTATTAGATGATGAAGTATTTTATTTAAATAAATTTTAACTCTTTTATAACAAGGACTTTTTTTTCCTTCATACTGTGTCAAAATTGTGCATAAAATGAAAAATAATTCTCCAATTATATTTTAATTATTTTTATAACTGAGAAAAGAAAATATACAAAAAATATTTAATGATAGCTGAGTCAAAGATGAACAAGTTAATCTATGTAAATGATCAGATCAGAACAATGTGAGATAAGTTAATTAATTATTTTTAAAAAATCACCTTAAGATTTTTAAGAAATGTGAAAAAAACGGTCAGACTGCAGAGAGTTAAATTATTAAGCATTGACCATGGGGCAAAATCCGAAGTCCGGTCCCAAATTATTTCCAATGATTACTCCTTACTTTAAAGTCTTAGGTATCATTTTCTTTGAAATTCATGTTTGCGGCAGTGGACGATGTTGGATGGAGGTTGTTAGCCGTCGAGATGCACAAACAATTGAGCGCATTATCACTAATCATGTGTTACTAGGGACAACTATAGTCATGGACTCTTGGTGAGGATATCAAAATTTCGGTCAGCTCAACAACGGGATTTATGCTCACGCTGTCATTTTGCACACACATGAATTTGTTGATCCAGTAGACCAGGACATTGGATGCAAGCGAAACGTTAACTCCCCTATCAGAGTGGTACTATTCGTGTTCGTGGTCTGTTTGCCAGCTACTTTGGGGCGTTTCAGTGGTGCAGCAGTCACAAGCAGAATGTTTTCAGCTGCTATTTGCAAATGCCATGTGCCAATTACAATATTTAGTATTTATTGATTGGTTTGTGAAGTGACAGTTATTTTGCAAAAGCTATGATTGACATTTCTGTTGTTTTCTAACAATACACACTGTGCATTGCAATTTTTTTCACTGGGACCGGACTTCGGTGGATTGCCGACCATGGCATTTAAATAGTGCCTATGCTTATACTATAGGCCTAGGAAGTATGATATAGCTGAAACTGGACTTTTTTTTTAGTGCTAACATCCTTTGAAATATTTTTAATAATCTTTTAGATAAATTTTGAGATAATGGTATGGGTTTTGCCAAGAGTTTTCTCACCCTAAGCGCAGTGACGTCACATTGGGGAATCCCAACACTGGACTTAGGGTCAATAGATCTATTCTTGGAAGGACCCGAACGATGTGTGTTCTTTATTGAGCATTACTCATTAATTACCAGCATTACCATTAATTTGTATTAAAATTCAACTTATACGTATACCCCAATACCCAACACCAGTGAAAAAATAGACACCCGTCAAAATTGCTGTATTTTGATTAGTTGAAATCAAAATACCTGTATCTTGAAACTTAGGTAGCAAAAGGAAGACTACTACTTAAATTGCTTTTGGAATTATCTTCTAGGAACTGCTTTAAATACCGGTACCAAAATAAAAAACATTGAAATAAGAAACATAGAAATTCACTAGGGAGAGGTCTCCCCAGTACCCCTCCCCAATTTAAGAAAAAAATATAAAATAAGAAAACAATAACTTGCATTATGTAAATATAAACATCGAAATCTTTTTAGTATGGCGCTGTAGACGGAAATGGACCTGGGGGAACCTCCGTGACCTATATACCGTGGAACACATAGTCGGCCTTACCGCCAACTCAAAACCAGCCAATCTTTTCTGTCCTTTTTTTCAAGGCCAAAATGTATATTGTTCCACTATGTATGTTATTAAGGACCAAGCCTGGACCATTTTGCTAATGAAGTGTCGACATGTCCGGTGACCGGACGAATAATTCTCAAGATATTCATCCGGCGACCAGGTCACATGACCGCTGTAACAAAGTTGGGCAAGATGTCTGTCTGTCAGCCCTGTCAGGCAACCGCTAATAGTCGAGAGATGCATGGGGGGCAACGAGCATACACTTCATTTCAAGAAATAAGTGGGGGGGGGTTGGTTTGGGGCGAGCAATGCATACTAGAAGGAAGAAAAAAAAACATCAACTCATATTTACCCACTAAACGAGACAATCCTCCAACAAGTATCCAATAGTCCACACCTTGGAATTCTCTTCTCAAATAACCCAAAATGGTCACCACATATAAACAAAATTTTAAAAAAAGCCAACTCCACCCTAGGTTTCATCTGAAGAAATCTGGTTTACTGCCCAACTTCCTGCAAACGAAATGCACAAAAAATCTCGCACTCGTCCGTCCACTGCTGGAATATGGTGCCATCATCTGGGACCCACACCTTAAGCAAGATGTGGGCACGATGGAGCGAATTCAATCGCGGTGCGTTTTATCGCTCGCGACTACCAATCCACCACTCCTGGCTTCGTCACTGGCCTCTTAAAAAGATTTGACATCACCCCCTTAAAGATAGACGAGAGGGACTCCGCCTGATATTCCTATATAAAGTGATCATGGGACTGGTGCCAGCCATCCCAGCAGGCACGTATCTCACCCCACAGAAGCCGGGTAGACTGATCAGAGCAAAACGCTCACCGAACACCGACTTCACCACTGACATTCCCAAAAACAATTACACCAGAATAAATAGCAAATGCTTCAAAGTGCCTCAGTGCAGTATCAACAATCTTTCTTCCCACGCACAATAATAGCATGGAAGCACCTGAACGATGCCACTGTGAACTCGACATCGGTCGAAAGTTTCAAGGCTGCCCTGGCATCAGCTAGGAGCTGTTAGAATAGCAACATCATATCCCCAACCGTTGCAAAGATGCCAGTACATGGATGCAGCAACGAAACATTACCAGAACCAGAATACAGAGAGCAAGAAAGAAAGAAAAAAAATGATAGTGTGGGGAATAAATAATTAAAGCGGGGAGGTCAATAGTTCACAAAGGAATAGACCCTACATCTTAATATAGGGCCAATATAGTGTACTGTTGAAGTAGCCTACTTCTCACGCAATATTAATAGCCTAAAATAAAACTTTTTTGACAGTAGATCTATTAACAGTCAACTGGCAAGTATTGGTCTTAATTTCTTGGTTTATATTTTACATTTAGGCTACTAGGTAGAGCTTTATAAAATATTTAAATCATGATAAAAAAAAATTTTCCGGCAACCTCTTGTCACATGACATATCTGCCGGAATAATAACACATACTAGTCGTCTGGCGGTCACGTGACATGCCTGCCGGAAAAATATCCCCCGCACTATTTGTCCGCTGGCCGGACGTGTAGACACTGCCTTTTCATAATTTGTCTTTCAATTTATTTCATGAGATTTTTAGGCCCAGTTCCAGTTAGTGGAGTCCTAGCCAATTTAATTTTAGTATTGAGTATAGTTACAATATAGTAGTTATACTATACTAGTCAAGTATAGTATAATAGTAGTTATACTATACTAGTCAAATTGCTCCTCCTAGTTGTTCCCAACCTTTTTATTTAGTGGAGATATTTTAAGAATCGATTTCTGATGGTCGATCCTCATAGGCCTATATTATTATTATTATGACACTTGCGTCTTACAAGACAAGTCAATGTTGTTTAAGGCCTACATTTCAGTGTTAGTTTAGGCTTAGGAGTAGTGTTAGAGAATTCGGAGTGGCTCCAGAGCCCCTATAGGTGCTTAGGACTCCATAGTGCACAGGTTGAGAACCACTGATAATACATTTTAACTGGTGTAGAATAGTGTTTGCACCTTCATGTGGCTTGAGAGTCGGATCCTGACAACTGAAGCTCTGTCCCTGCCACACATTTTTCAGGCGAATAATAAATATTGAAGATTGTTTTTTAGGTTTCTGCAGGCTCTCTAAATTTTGATGGCACTTTGTAGAGATTTGATGCCATGTTGAGCACTAATTTTTTTTTTTTTACATAGATATGTACATGCTACATATTGTGCATGAAAATTTCAGAAAAAGAATAAAAATTAATTAACAAATATTTAAAACTGATAAACACCAAAAATAATATCCCATAGAGGTCAGTAAAGTCAAAATCCAGTAAAGTTAAAAAATTAAATAATAATAAGACAGTGAGATCATTAATATGTTCTTAATGTAAACAAACAAAGCATATGTAAACACAGAAGAGTCCTCCTTACCATGTAATCCGAATGGTCCTGCCAGCCAGAATGATCTTCAGCACATTGGTGATGATGCTGGAAGCTTTCATATCTTTCTTACAAGATGACAAAATCACCCAGTTGGTCTGGTCCCTATGTCAGCTTACTGCACAGCAAGTCCTTCACTTGGGTAAAACGTGGGTCCATTCTTTGTTAGGTGTTAAATTCTCTGATGAAACTATGAAATACACTGTCATAAGAAAATCTAAAAGTATTTGTCACAGTATATTCAGACTTCCTTGATTGTCCTCAATGGTTTTTTAATGTTTCAGATTGATGTGGAATAATGTAAGCCTCCAGCCACTGGGGTAATAGATCTTGGCTGCTTATCAACAAAAAGTTTACTTTATCAAGAGGATTCCTTCCTCCAGTTTTATCATCTCCAAAATTTAAATTGTCATTGGTGTTTCTGCAGTTCACAGACTATCTTCTTGTAAGTAAATAGAAGTTTAGATTAGTTTAGTGCTATATATATTGGGGGGGGGGGGGGGGGCGAAATGTTTTTAGTATTTTATCTTCATTCAGATGCAATGGCTGTTTGGGCATGCACCCTTCAGTCTGTATTGTTAGTATTTAAAATAGGCTCCCTCAAATTTCATTTTTCTCTTCCACTGGTTTGAATATTTTTCAAATGACAAAGATGTGAAACTCTTACTTGCCACTGGCCTTACACCATATATTGCTACATGTGTATACAGACTAATCAAGAAAATGCACAATGACATTATTTTGTTATTTTCATTTACAACTTATTTTTGTTTTAATAATAGGCAGATTTTAAATATTAGTCTAAAAATATTATTCTATATTTTATATCAAATAATTAATCATGTCATTTATTTGTCAGACTCGATAAAATGAGTCAAGCAGTATCAAATACCCCACAGCCATCCCATAGTCGGCAATATGGTGAGTGCAAATATAACTTTAAATATAAATCTAATTTTCTCATTTTATGGGGCACATCCAAATTTTTGTAAAACAGAGTAGCGTGCTCATGGAAGCCACCTACTTTTTTCAATTTGGGTTGGTTCCAAAATCATCTTTGTTGTTGCTAAACTTCAAAGTTCTGTATATCTTGTCTTTTAATTCCCCTCACAGTATTTTGATTCATTCCATGTTTACTAAGCCAAATATGACAACCAAAAATGATATGAAAGTAGAACCAAAGCATTTACTCTTTTCTCTCCCAAATTTTTTTTTTCTTACTTGGTCAGAACCCATAATGACCCAACTATATTCCCAATATTATTTTGTTATAAAATAAAGTAAATGTTTTAAATTTTGGTTTAAAAATTTTATTTTTCAGCAAATGTTAACGAAATCATATTGGTACTTGAAAGTAAAATAATAAGACATAATTGCTTTGTTTTGATGTTTAGACTAAATTTTTTGATTATCTTTTCTCGTGTCTGGTATAAAAATGAGATTTTCTTGTGTACAGCTTCAAGCACCAGTTCTAGGTCACCACCAGTGACTCCAAGGCCTCAGTCACGGCCTTACACTGAATATGTTGCACAGCAACAGAGGGTGCTATCAACATGCAGGAATGGACAGAACAAAGATCTAACAGATGGACCAAGGCTGTGGCGTCAAATGATGATTGGCTTCACATGTGCTGGATTTGTAGGGCTAATCATGTTGGTGTTGGGTACAGTTTTTATCGCAGAGGCTGTTGGGAAGCAGCAACCTATTACTGTTATGCTGTGTGTTATGGGTATTGGTATGTATGCATAATGTATTTTTAGTATTTTCAAGCAGATAATCACATATATTGAATTTTATGTTTTCATATCCTTTTTATTTGGGAAGAAAACTGCTAGCGAAATAAGATTTTTTATATTTAATTTTTTTAAATGTCAAAACATTCATTTGATTTTCCACATGTACGTCTTATCCCAGCTAGTATATTGTCTGAAAAAATGTACCCATTCAAATTTTGTAAAGTGATTTTTAGTTAATGTAATAATGTTGCATTTTAATTATTTTTTCCTGGCTTAAGATCATTTTCCATTACAGTATTTGGAATAATTATACTGGTTGGGACAATTATCCTTGGAAGACTTCTTATCTCACGGAAGTGGCTCAGGTGTCAAGGAACAGAAACAGTGCAAGCTTCACAATGTTTTCACACATGTTCAGGTAAAACTTTTGCTGATCCAGTCTAAAATTTATTTTAGTGTTTCATGTTTATTACCTGTAATATTTCTTATCATTTCCACTTAAAAAACTAGATTTAGCCTTCAGTAAAAATGTAATAATTGCACCAAATAGAGGCAATAACAACTTGTCACTCATTCATCATCAAGGCCTGCTCTAAGCTACTCTAACCCTGCCAACCTCATTCTGCTCAAAGCCTCTCCAACTTCCAGCAACAGACAGCTTCGCATCGCCTAATTCAACGCTCAGTCGCTTGGCTCTTATGAGAAATGCATCGCAGTCTCCGAATTTATCACAGATAGGCAGACTGACAGTCTGTTTATCCAGGAGACCTGGTTTTGGCTGACTGGTGATGAGGAGAAGTGTGCCGATCTCGCTCCATCTGGCTATTCTGCCCAAACATTTCCTCATTCAACTCGCGGTTGAGGACTTGCTGTTATCTCTAGAGCCACGTTGTCCCATCATACAGCTTTTGTCATAGACCTCCCACTCGCTCACACATCTTTTGAAGCAGTTCGACTTACCCTTTCAGTTTATGTGCATTTATCGCATCTTCCCTAGTAAGAAAAACAAACTGACGGATGTAATGTTTCATCGAGATTTTCCGGATTTGTTAGATCATTACAACACATTGGCTGGGACTTATATTGTAGTTGGCGACATGAACTTTCACTTTGACCAGCCCCAGAATCCTTCCACTGCTAAGATGATGGATCTTTTGGACTTGGTTAGTTTTAAGCATTTTGTTGACCAACCGACTCATAATCGAGGAAATGTTGTTGATTGGGTGCTACATAGGCCTCAGGTTGGTGTAGTTACCTCTTCTTCAATTACTCAAGAGCTGTCCTCAGACCACTTCTGCGTTATTGCCCCCTCTCCTCTCCATCAGTTCACGGAGGTCTGCAGTGTGAGTGCTATAAATAAGGATGCCTTTAAGCATGATCTGATTTTAGGAGTGTCCCCCGCCCTCTGCTCTACTTTGAAAACGCTAGACTTTACCTTACACGCTGTGCTTAACCGGCACACCCCTGTTACCCACCGAATTGTTAGGTCAGCATGGTCAGCTCCCTGGTTTGTGACCATCAGAGAAGAACTAGGTAGTGCCAAGAAAGAATGAGATCTGTGGAAAAGAAATGGTTGAGGTAATGCTTTGCTGACCATAAGCAAATCTTTTCCGCTAACTCAGAATGTTTATCGTGCTATGTCTTTGTATTCTAGCAATAGGATCATTATGGGTAAAACCAGCAGCCAGTTGTTTGACGCCTGTAGGCACCTCACAGGAAGTAACAAAGTAAATGTTCTTCCTTCAGTGTATCCATTGCCTCAGCTACCAGATATTTTTTGTAATTTTTTCACACACAAAGTAGATAAAATTCTTGCTGAGCTTAATCATCTTGACGTATCGCCCCTTGACCTGCCTCCTCCTTCTGGCGTTAGTTCATATTTCGATGTTTCAGAACAAGAGGTCAAAAGTATTATTCTAAAATATAAACATTGTTATGTTTTTCGACTCCATTCCCACTTTACTGTTAGTTGAGTTGTTGAATCAATTGCTCCCAATGATAACCCATATAGTCAATGAGAGCTTGTCTTCTGGCATTGTTCCCTGTCTTTGTAAGACAGCCGTCATCAGTTCAGGGAGGTCCGCAGTGTGCGTATTGTAAATAGAGATGCCATTAAGCATGATCTAAGTTTAGAAGTGTCCCCCGCCCTCTGCTCTACTTTGGAAATGCTGGACAGTACCTTGCGAGCTGTGCTTGACTGACATGCCCCTGTCATCCGCCGCAATATTAAGTCAGCACAGTCAGTCCCCTGGTATGTGACCTTAAGTGAAGAACTACGCAGTGCCAAGAAAGAGTGGTGTAGTGCAGAAAAGAAGTGTTTGAGGTCAGGTCTTGTGGTTTCTAAGCAGATTTATTCCGCTGACAAAAATGGTGTCACTCGGATTGTTTGTCGTGCTAAGACTTGCTATATTAGCCAAAAGATAATTATGGGTAGAACCAGCAGGCAGTTGTTTGATATTTTCTGTGATTTTTTTTTACAAGCAAAGTTGCTGACATTCGCGGTGAGCTTGATCATCTTGACGCACCGCTCCTAGATTTGCCTCCTTCGTCTGGTGAAAGTTCACATTTCAATGTTTTTTAACCTGTTTCAGAACAAGAGGTCAAAAGTATTATTCTAAAATCTAAACCTACGTCATGTTCTTTGGACCCCATCCCCACCCCCCTGTTGGTTGAGTCGTTAGATCATTTGCTCCCAACCATAACCCACATAATCCATGAAAGCTTGTCTTCTGGGAATGTTCCCTCTCTTTGTAAGTCAGCTGTCATCAAACCATTGCTTAAGAAGCCTGGTCTGGATGAAAATAATTTAAAAAACTATAGACCTGTATCTTACTTATCATTTTTATCTAAAGTCATTGAAAAATAGTCTATAACAACTTTTTGTTTACTTAAACGACCACTCTCTTTTCTGTCCTAATCATTCAGGCTGTAGACATTTCCACAGATCAGAGATCCACCACTACCTCACAGTTAGCGCAACAAAAGTCCCAGTCTGTGTTCTTGTTCTCTCTCGTCTTGACTATTGCAACTCTCTTCTGTCAGGTTCACCAAAACACTGCATAGAAAAACGGCAGAAAGTTCAAAACTCAGCTGCTAGGCTTGTTCTACAGGCAAAAAAAAACGTGTTCACCTCACTCCACTACTCCTTTCACTTCATTGGCTCCCTATACAGGCACACATTGATTTACAAGCTGTCTGTTCTTTATGTTTACCGGTGACAGACTATGATAATGTGATCTGCATGTTCACTCAATATAAATATAAATGAATATCTATAGCAAATACACTTATGCAAAACTAGGTGACCACAGATTCCAATATAAACGTCGACCATCTACTTTTAGAAGTTAACTTTTTTTACACCAGCTTAACTCAATCCCACTAGACACGTAGTCTGAGTAGTTATTGTATGCATTATATATACTGTAGGTTTATTTCTTTTTACCATTAAGATACTGTGTTACTGTACACTTTTGAGATGATGTATTACAATTTTAGAAGTTCAAGGGTCAACAGTTCTGATCTCTTTTCAACATGTGCTTTATCTACATAACATTTACATGTTTTATTGTGCCCTACTTTCATTGATGTTTTCTTTTTTTTAAAGTCTTCAAGATTTATTTACTAAACAAAATGAACTCATTTAATGTAAAGCAAAAAGTACCTTTTTTTAAAAAAAAACAAAAATGAAATTTTCAGTTATTTACAGTCCTTCACTTGATCAACTTGGGGCAAGTGAGACCATGCTAGAGCCACCTCCTGCTTATGATTCCGTGATATCCATTGTCTTACACCCACTACATGGCCAGAGTGCACCCGCTTATGTGGAAACCCTGCCTGATGAGGAGGATCAGGCGGCCATCATGGTGCTACCCCCAAAGTATGATGAGGTCACGAAGCCGCTTCCAGAATATTATGAGGACCATTGCCCTTCTTAGCTACTCCAGCTTTAATATGCAATTTTTTTAAAGGTTGCTGAAAAATGTTAAGTTTTAGAAATGAAGGTAATGTTCCTCCATGAAGTGCAGGTTGTTTTTTGTCCAGAAGTGATAAATATTGACTCAAAGAGTAATGTCTTCTATAATATGGAAACATTGAGTTAGTTTCATTTGTTTATTAATTTTATCTTACAAAAAATTGATATTTTAAATTTACGTGATAATGCTGTAATATGTTTTTACTTATGTTAAAAAGTAAACCTTTATGGGTGATTCAAATTATATTTGTACAAAATTTCTACATGTGACATACTGCTATTTAATGCTTTAGTCTTAATGTTTTTTACTTGAAAGAAATCCTTGTTCAAATGTTTTTAATTACTGTATATTTTCATGTAATTATGAGATACTTGTTTTATCATAGTTGAACTTTAAAAAAATTATTAAAAAATTATAAAAATTAAAATTAATTTTGTTGTAAATATTAACCTACTGTAATTTACTGATCTTAACACAACGGGGGGGGGGGGGGGGGGTGTCAAGCTCCAAATTATTTTGTTTTTTCTCAGCTCACTGACACTGGTAGGAAGGGTGATGAATGGCACATGATCTCTAATGCATTTTGTCTTTCTCCACTGATCTCTTTCTTTCTTTGTATTCTATCAATCTGGTACTTTCTATTCTTTAAACTAATTATAATTTTTATTTGCATATTTCCTTAAAATGTTGGTAGATTGCTAAAGATATCATTCACTTTGTAAATATCTTAAATTGTTAACATGTCTAATTATTGCAATCCTCTTATTTATTTTACAATTTATTTATTTTTTGAATCTGCTTTATCTTTCATTAGATTCACTTTACATTAATTTGATGCATTACTACTTAAAAAGTATTTCCAATTTCCGATGTGATCTTGGTAACACAAAAATTCTTAGAAGTACAAGTTTAGCTCTTTGTGAATGAAATATGTTATATAAATTTTTAAGGTTTACAACTCATTTTTTCCTACTCCGATGGCTTTTAAATCTATGTATATTTTATAAAAAGATATTCACTTGCTATTTATTTGAACATGAATTTATCAAATAAAACTTCTTTGGTTGAAAATTAAATGACAGGTTTATTATCAAGAAATAATATTATTTTTTTTTACTTTCATCTAGATGAGGAAATTATGTAAAAATAAATGAATTAAAAGAAAATCTTTGCCATAAATTGCTCAAATTTTGATATGTTAATATATCTTTTCTCATATCAAGATTTTTAAATAGGTAAGATTTACAACAATTTTTTGTAATGGATATAATCATTCTAGAAGTGATTATATGAATTACACTCACTTATGTGATCCTTAGTTTTAAATTCTTCTAGTAAAGCTATTCTGAGATTTGGTATATTTTAAAATGATTTAGGAGCTCCTTATTTTATGGCAGATTCAATGTTACAGAGATCTTAAATTAAAACAATTTGAAAAATTATTTATTAATTGTAATAGTACAAGTTAGTGCTATTTCATCATGGAAGTTTGTAGGCTAGCTCGGGGAATAGCAAATAGTGACACATCCCAAGCGACAAATTTGGTATATGTACATGAATATATATGTATTCTACTACTTAAAAATTATACATATACACATTTAGTTTATGTGTCTCTAGGGTTCTTAGCAAATTTTAAAAAAAGACCTCACAGAAAAATGAGGAGCTCCTCCATAATGAGAAATGACACTGTTCAAGAAGGGAGATCCAGTAAAATTGAGGATTGTTGAAACAGTTTTGTCCACATTTTGGCTGTGTTTTCAATTTTAGCACAATGTATTTGTAAATTGTATATTTAAAAATATGTCAGTCTGTGTAGTCTCACCTTCATCATACCTAGTGATAGTTTGTATAGTCTAACCTTCACCGTACCCTGTGATAGTCTGTGTAGTCTCACCTTCACCATACCTAGTGATAGTTTGTATAGTCTAACCTTCACCGTACCCTGTGATAGTCTGTGTAGTCTCACCTTCATCATACCTAGTGATAGTTTGTATAGTCTATGGAAGTGGCATGGGACACTATCAGACTGTAGTCTCACCTTCATCATACCTAGTGATAGTTTGTATAGTCTAACCTTCACCGTACCCTGTGATAGTCTGTGTAGTCTCACCTTCATCATACCTAGTGATAGTTTGTATAGTCTAACCTTCACCGTACCCTGTGATAGTCTGTGTAGTCTCACCTTCATCATACCTAGTGTTAGTTTGTATAGTCTAACCTTCACCATACCCTGTGATAGTCTGTGTAGTCTCACCTTCATCATACCTAGTGATAGTTTGTATAGTCTAACCTTCACCGTACCCTGTGATAGTCTGTGTAGTCTCACCTTCATCATACCTAGTGATAGTTTGTATAGTCTAACCTTCACCGTACCCTGTGATTTCCCCTCTTCAAAGTACCCTGAAATCCATCCATATATTTTATATATAGAGGGAAAAAAAGGCGAATGTATGCACAAAACCATAAAAGGTATAAATAAACATTGGTGAATTTATCTATTTATTAGAACACTACTACACATACATCGTATTGAAATGTGTAACATTGACTTGATTTTATGTTTTAATTAACAGACATAACTTGTGTTTTTGTTTCACAAGGTTCACAAATGGTGAATGTATACTCTTGACTGTCATTCTTGGCAGGCCAACGTCCACATTTCTTCTCTTTGGTCCATTGATTTGTGTGGCTTTTTGCGATGGAGGGTGCACATACTTCAGGAATACCTGTAATGCATTGTAGTATTGTAGAGGATGTTACATTTGGCAGCTGCATCCTCTTCTTGATGTTTGCTGTCTTCAGCTGCCCTGCAATCTCTATGATAAAGCACTATCTGTTGTCAGCATGGGTCAGCTACCCTGCAATCTCTATGATAAAACACTATTTGTTGCCAGCATGGGTCAGCTACCTTGCGATATCCATGATAAAACACTATTGTTAGCATCTGCCGATTTTCTTGTCTGGTAGTGTCTTCACCACAAAATCCTTGTGGCAATTCTAAAATATTGTAAAACATTAACCTTCGTTTTTTTATTTGTTTGTAAAAATATGTGCCATTTGGTCCACGCAGTCAAAACCGCCTTGGGGTTTGTTATAGTCAGTTACATTTTTAGGGTTACATTTGTGTTCCTTTTTGACTGCTAGGATATGATAGTGGCCTCTGTTGACTGCTAGGATATGATAGTGGCCTCTATTGACTGCTAGGATATGATAGTGGCCTCTGTTGACTGCTAGGATATGATAGTGGCCTCTGTTGACTGCTAGGATATGATAGTGGCCTCTGTTGACTGCTAGGATATGATAGTGGCCTCTGTTGACTGCTAGGATATGATAGTGGCCTCTGTTGACTGCTAGGATATGATAGTGGCCTCTGTTGACTGCTAGGATATGATAGTGGCCTCTGTTGACTGCTAGGATATGATAGTGGCCTCTGTTGACTGCTAGGATATGATAGTGGCCTCTGTTGACTGCTAGGATATGATAGTGGCCTCTGTTGACTGCTAGGATATGATAGTGGCCTCTGTTGACTGCTAGGATATGATAGTGGCCTCTGTTGACTGCTAGGATATGATAGTGGCCTCTGTTGACTGCTAGGATATGATAGTGGCCTCTGTTGACTGCTAGGATATGATAGTGGCCTCTGTTGACTGCTAGGATATGATAGTGGCCTCTGTTGACTGCTAGGATATGATAGTGGCCTCTGTTGACTGCTAGGATATGATAGTGGCCTCTGTTGACTGCTAGGATATGATAGTGGCCTCTGTTGACTGCTAGGATATGATAGTGGCCTCTGTTGACTGCTAGGATATGATAGTGGCCTCTGTTGACTGCTAGGATATGATAGTGGCCTCTGTTGACTGCTAGGATATGATAGTGGCCTCTGTTGACTGCTAGGATATGATAGTGGCCTCTGTTGACTGCTAGGATATGATAGTGGCCTCTGTTGACTGCTAGGATATGATAGTGGCCTCTGTTGACTGCTAGGATATGATAGTGGCCTCTGTTGACTGCTAGGATATGA